CCTCCCCATCGTAATATCACCTGTGTATTCACATTGGCAGCTCCTGGGAAAATGCTAGCATACATTGACTGCCAACATGTCTGCTGAGAGCAGATATAGGCAGCTATAGAAAGAAGGCATTGGCAGGTTATGATGTTTCCTATATCCACTGCGAGCAGACACCTCTGTAGAATTGCTCAGGCAGTACTGAAACACAGAGATGTCTCCAGACATCTCCATGGAAGGTAAGATGAAGAAAGACAGAGAGTTGAGAGTGTTGTAACAAAGAATAATGTTTTTCTCCTTTAGTAGAATTTTTTTTTTTTTTTTCCTCAAACAGACAAAAGGGTAGCTGAATGACTACTGAAAAACTTCCTCTCCCAGTTCGTTGCATCATGAAAGACCTCAAGGTTCTGCCATTCTGTATATTGCTAGCAAAGGATGCAGAAAATGTGGGTACCACAGGCAATACTGAAAGTCTCAAGACAAGAAAAGGAAAAAGGAGAATGAAGAACAAATTCCATACAGTTTTAGAAGCATGTAGCAACCCTAAGAGAATGGATACTGCCAACCCCCCAGCAGAAATATATGACGCTAATGCATTTTCCACCCACTGCTGCAATTAATAAAGGCTGCTGCTAGACACACAGGCTAAGCTCGCTGCTATAGCATTTCTCCAGTCAGCCATTGCTCCACAAATAACAAATCTTATCCAGTCAGGGTGAGCCAGTTATGGAAGTTTGCCAGAGGCATATAAAGAGTATGCGTTCATCTCTTTCTATCCAAACAACTCTTCTGCTGAACACAATGTCTCTACTCACATACAAACACGTTGCTGCTAATATAACATATCACTGAATTTCAATAACATCCACAGCATCAGAAAAGCAGTTAAACATTAACTAGTGCTTTGCATCTACTGAAGATACTGAGTTCCATGAGCTTGAAAGAAAAAGAAAGCCCTGTCAGTGGATGAACTTAAACTTTAGAAATTTTTTCCTATTATCTTTCTACTCATGGATGACTTCTCACTCAGTCTATATGGAAATGGGTTATTTCCTAAGCGCTAAACTCTGCGTTGGATCCTACTGATGGATGACTTTGAAAAAATCTGTATTCCCTCACTGTTCCTTTGCCTACAGATCTTGAATTTGGTCCCAGGACTACTTCTCATATTGAAATTAAGTTCTTCATATTTCTCAGAGTGATCTCAGAGTGAAGAAGGCATTGAAATGGGATGACTCTGTCTATATGGGTGATTAGTCCAGTATAGGTTCCTATGTTATAACCAGGAGCAGAAAGAATTTGTCACCAAATGAAGTAAGGTGTAAGTATTTGAACAGAAGAAGAAATCAAGGTAGAAGAGCCAATTTCTGGAGATTCCAGAATAATATTTTACTGTTGGCACTGAAGGTGCCCATATCTGTAAATTTTGACTAATGTTTCTAAAACTCCCCAGAAAGGATGTAGGCATCATACTCATTAAATTTATATTGAAGAAATAGGGACCCAGGGACTGCAGAGTTCTAAGGACTGAATAGGATCCAAGCTGTGACTAGCTCATAAGTGCCAAGAAAAGGCTACTGAGCTGCAGGGACAATCACTGACTGCGTTTTCCCTTGCTACCTCTAGACTCATGAACACTATAAATTAGCAGTTAATGGAATTGTCACTCAAGACTGCAGCACCTGGAGAACATGCAATGTGCCACTGGTCAGAATTTCCAAATGAAATTATGTACCTTGGCTTTATATGCAAAGAAATTTCAGACGCTCTCTTGCAATACACAAGAAAATCCCATTTATCAAATTTGCTCGCAAACCACTCTGTTTCTGCAACTGGAAGGTTATTTACCTGAACGATTACAGAGTGATTTTAGTGTTCCTGAGATACAAAACAACAAGAACCAAATTCTTTGTTCCCTGTTTTCCTCCTTCTCTAGGCTTTCTTTTTTCCTTTGATATTTAACAGCAGCCATCACTCTACTATAAAGTTTTTCATCAACACTTAAGCCTCAGTGCTGCAATCTGAATAGGGAAAAATCTATACATGCAGAAACATCAGGACCTGCCTAACCCAATGTGAAAACTGTTAAGGCAAAGGAGAGAGGGAAACCAGGTGAAAAGACTGGCTATAATAATACATCCCGTTGGAAAGTTCAGGTCTCACATCTGCCTTGGTTCCCCTCTGAGAGATCTTACAATAACACCAATTCAACATTTTGCCATCCTTGTGTTTTATCTAGCCTCTTGTGTTAGAAATTTAACAGCATTAATAGAGAGCTTATCTGATTGCTGAAGAAAACATCTTTCCCAGGACTTATGCTGGTGTATATTCAAATGAGAATGCTGAACACAGTCCATGTTTGAGGTAAAGAGAAAAATGCAAGTGCTTTAAATCAAAGCACAGAATGGCTGTGCTTTGATTTAAAATTCATATATAAATAGATTTTTAATTTGTGAAAGCCCTAAACAAGACGCAACATGACCCTCCGCAAAATTGTTCCTAGGCTTCAGTGGTGGAGTCCTGATTATTTTGGTTCCCATGCTGCATCCAATTTCAGTGCAATTTTGAGTGTGGTCTTCCAACAAAAATCAGCATCTCAGCATGTTATCCTGCAAATATAGCTTAATAAATCACAGTCAGTACTGACATTAAAGAGGGGGGGGGAAAAGGGGAGAAGTTCTCATCAAGTTGTAACCAGTAGCCTTGAAAATGAAATATTGTTGCTAAAATCCCACCATTTTTTTCTCCTGTGAGCATAGTATATCGAGTCTTCTAGATAACTGAATCAACATTTTAAATACACCAAATAGTTGCATCAAATTTGATTTAAATTCTGAAAAGCTAAAGATGATGGCTGGTTTTTTGATTAGCCATACAACAAAAATAGATTTCTCAGTTGGATTACCTACCTTCCTCACTCTTCAGCAATATAGGCTATGGACGTGATCACATAGTCCATTACAAAACTCACAAATATTTCTCATCCTAAACACCTTCCAGATATTCCAAAGACCATGGTAACATTAATCATGTCAAAGAAGGAAATGAGTCTTTGAAAATCTCAAACTGTCTTTCAGCTTACCTACCCCCTCAGTCTTTCTCCTACTCAAATAACAGGCTCACATGTATGTAGGAGATCCTCAGTGCAACCCTCCTATTTGTCCTGTAGCTCTTTTGCTCCACTTAAGAGTACCACACGAATCAGATCCATCACTGCTGTAAGGCCTATGAGACTTCTAGCAAAACAGATCGCCACTGTTACTTACACCAATTAAATATTACCACTGCTTGTCAATAATTTGAGAACAGGGATGGACTGTAAGGTTCTGCACACCCCCCCACCCAACAGGCTTTAGGAGAGAACCCATCCAGTCTGAAAATTTTTGTGTTTATAGCAAAATTGTTATAGAGAGAGAATATAGAGCCATGCATGCTGACAGCTTCAAGA